ATCATATCATCACCATCCGTGGAACTGGTGATCAAACCCAGCACCTTTACACTAAATCACCTACCCCCTAGTACTTTTTTTTTTTTTTTTTTTAATCCTGAGACAAGGTCTCACTTTGTAGTCCAGGCTGACCTTAAATTCATGGCAATCCTCCTGTCTTAGCCTTCCAAGTGCTGGAATTACAAGTATGTACCATCATGTCTAGCTTCTGCACATTATTTCACATACATCTTTTAGAATTTTGCAAGCTCAGGTTCAAGGGAGCGGTGACAGTTGGGGAGTGGGGAGGCAAATTTTTGGTAGGACTTTTGCCCTGAACTACATCTTCAGTTCGTTTTTTTAATTCTATGCCAGGGTCTCACTAAGCCACTAAACTGTCCATACTGAACTTGAATTTGTGATCCTCATGTCTCAGCCTCCCAAGAGTGCTGGGAATACAAGCATGAACACCATGCCTGGCTATGTTCATTGAAGCTTAAAGCCTGAGAATCCACAAAAAGAAATACTAGTATGAAAAGTTATTTAAAAATAAACTTAAAAAGGGAAAATAAATAACTATTTGAGGGTACCATCTCAGAATATAACAGATTAGCAAAAATAATGCATCCAAGCTGCTATAAACTCAGTATGTTCATTGCTTTAAATAACCTCATATAAAACCAGGCCCTGTCTTCCCACCTGTTTGGCCACATGCAGAAAACAGTTCCTTCATTATCCAAAAACAATGGGGAGACAATGCTAAAAGACTTTCTGCAGTGCCTTAAGAAAGGACCAAAGGGGAGTTATATCCATGACACCCTGCAGATCTGGAATTATCTTCCCCATCTGTCTTCTCATCCTCCCCCGCTTGGCACTTGCTTTCCTTAAGCTCTCTATTCTCCCATGCCAAACTCTAAATCTCAGATTCTGTGGCCGCCTCTCCCCTGCATGGCTTGGTTCTTATGTAGTCTACAGAAATGTTTTTTTTTAAATTATTATCTTTTTTTTTGTTTGTTTGCAGTGCTGAGGATCAAAACCAGAGCCTTGAACATGCTAGGCAAGCATTGTACCCGAGTCACCCCCTAGCCCAGGAATGTTTCATTCACCCTATGTCACAGGCAGAGGCACAGGATAGAGCCGGCTCCCCAGCTGCTGTGAAGAGGAACACATTCCCTGGTGACCCTGCTCAGTTCTCTCCCTGCCAGCCTGGACCACCTTCCCAGAGGTGAACTCATTTTCTTTCTTTCTTTCTTTCTTTTTTTTTTTTTTTTTTGTCTTTTTTGTCTTTTTTCATTTTTATCGGTACCAGAGATCGAACTCACGACTGCCTGCTTGCAAGGCAGGTGCTTATGCTGCTGAGCTAAATCCCCAGCCCCTGAACTCATTTTCCCACAGATGGTTTACTCCTTGTTGCTTCCCATGCCCACTGTGCCCACTGCCACCACGGACCACGGTTGGGAGCAGCTCATGGACTGAGCCTGACACAGAAAGAAGTATTTTGCTGGGATGGCAGAGGGGTCTGATGTCACAGCATGAAGAAAACCTGGCAGGCAGGTTTGCAGGATGTGTTTACCCTAAGTGTGAATTTTTTTAAAAAAAGTCTAGCAGTGTCCTCCACTCTCCTAGACAGTAAACAGCTTTCTGTGGGAAGTTCAGTAGCTCTTTACAGCCTGCCAAGTTCAAAGGCTTTTCACACTCAGGACATGCCCATTGGCACCGTTATTATTATTATTATATTAGGAATAATGAAGATATATATACTTTTGGTCAGAAGAGAGTTTATTGACAAGATAGGGTGGAACAGACCCACCAGCAACATGGAGGGAAGGGCAGGAACAAGTCCAAAGTCTCACACTGCCCACAGCGGTAAGTATTAAACAAAAGGATCTATAAAGTCACTGGAGGTAGTTTACACATTTATACCGCAATACTTTCTACACTGGCCCAATGGGTGCTTTTCTTTCAGTACTGGGGACTGAATCTAAGTCCTTGACACTGAATTAAATCTCTAGCGCCCTCCCCGCCTTATGTTTTAAAACAGGGTCTCACTAAATTGTCTGGGTTAGGCTTAAATTTGAGATCTTCCTGCTTCAGCCTCCCAGAGTACTGGGATTACAGGTATGTGCCATCAGACCTGGCTTTTTTGTTTTATTTTGTTTTTTTGAAACATGGTTCTGCTATGTAATTCAGAATACCCTTGAATGTAATCTAGGCTGACTTTAATCTGCCCGGCAATCCTCCTGCCTCAACCTCCCAAGTATTAGGATTACAGGCATGGGCAACACCTGTTTTTTTTTTTTTTTTTTTTTTTTTAACTTTCCAGGCAACAATCACATAGAAGTGATAGGACTAAGAGAATATTAACATACTTAAGAACATTTTCCCATCTGGACTTTAGAATATCTATAGGATATGTAAACTCCTATAAGAAAGACAACATAGTTGAACCCAAAATGACATTTGGTGGTACATACCTGTAATCTCAGCACTTGGGAAGCACAGGAAAGAGGATTGCTGTGAATTCACTGCACCTTTGCAGGGTGGAGGTTGTACTGGGAATTGAACTCATGACCTTGTGCTTGCAAGGCAGGCACAGTGCTGCCGAGCTATATCCCTGGCCCATCACTGTGAATTTGAGGTCAGCCTAACTGCATAGTGAGACCCTGCCTCCAAAAAAATAAACAAATAAATCACATTTGGGTATTTTTCCTGCTTGGTTTTGGAAACTCAACTATTATATAATCCAGAAAACAACACATAGTCTGATTGTTTTGCTTTATAAATAATTTAATTCCAATTATAAAAATCATATATGCTGAACATAGATAATTTGATAAATACATAAAAGTATAACAGATAATCACTGCCGTCAGATTTCTCTTCTTGTTTTTTTGAGCCAGGGCCTGGCTATGCAGCTCAGGCTGGACTTGAATTTGCTATGTGGCTCAGGCTGGTCCAACTCAAGTCAACCCTTCCACCTGTCTCCCAAGTGAGGCACTATCATATTTCTCCATAAATTAAATAAGTGTATATATATATATCACTATAAACACCTGAAAGATTATTTTCTGCTATGCTGTTACAAGCAGTCAATATACTATATATTTTCTGCTATGCTGTTACAAGCAGTCAATATACTATATATAAAAAACGTATATATATACATATATATAGTATTAGAACTAGGATGATATATACATTGCTTATATTCTCTTCATTTTCTTCAATATTTGACAATGAAATATAATTTCAGTAATAATCTTTGTTTTGGCTTGGTTTTTTGAGACAGGGTTTCACTAAGCAGTGCAGATTGACCTTGAACTCAGTATGAAGCCCAAACTGGGCTGGAACTCATTAGATCTTCCTGCCTCAACATCCTAAGCAGCAGTCCTTTAGCCTCAACTCCAGAATGCTGGCATCAAAGGTATGGGCACCACTCCCAGCTCAACTGCCTTCTAATTAAAAGTTTGGTTTTATTCCCTTGCTGTTGAAAGGCAGCATTAGCAGAGTTTTGACAAATTTCACTCCTTTTCCAACATTTTATTCTGAAAAATTTCAAACACTGGGTGTTGTGATCCCATCACATAGGAGCCTGAGGCAGGAGGATCACCATGAGTTCGAGGCCAGCCTGGGCTGTACAGTGAATTCAAGGCCAGCCAGCACTACACAACTGAGACTCTTGTCTCAAAACAAAGCAAACCAAAACAAGAAAATCACTAAAAGTTTGAAAGAATGGGTTGGTGAATACCTATTGGCTGGAGTCTACAATTAACATCCTATTAATTTGCTTCAGCATGTATCTATCTCTTCATCCCCCAATCCATTGAGGTTTCATTTTTATTATTTTTGGTTTTTGAGAGAGGGCCTCACTGTGTAGTTCAGGCTGGCTGTGAACCTACTGTGTAGCCCAGGCTGATCTCGAACTGCAAGTGATGCTTCTGTTTCAGCCTCCAGAGTGCTGGGATTACAGGCCTGTGCCACCACGCCCTATTTAGTTTCATTTTTAATATTAAAAACCTTCATTGTTATTATGATAGTGGGGATCAAACTTGCCACCTCACACTTGCCAGGCAGGCTCTTATGCCACGCAGCTAAATCCTTGGCAATACTAAAAACCTTCACATGAAGACTTTCTGGTTGAGTTCCCTTTCCCGTAATACCCTGGGCGTTCGTTATACGATGTGCCTGTGGAAATGTGCCAAGGTGTGTGGGTAGCTCAAGTCCCGCACTCAGCACATGGGAAGAACAGGCGCTGGGTTCTAATGCTGACCCTACTCTGAGACTGAAACCCCTGAATGAAGATGAAAAGCATAAACTTCCAAAGGCGCCCCACAGTTATTCCTCCATCTCAGTGTTTTTTTCTTGGTACTGGGAATCGAACTCAGGATCTGGTGATTGCCAGGCAAGTGCTTGTGCCACTGAGCTATCCCCAGCCCTGTCATAGTTGTTACAATTTTCACACCTTGTCTCTGGACACCATCGCAGGGTCACCGCGTCAGACCTAAGCAGTGTAAAGTGGGCACAGGTGGCCCAGGCAGTGTCTGGGACTCGAGTCCACCGAGTTGTTCCACCTGCCAGCCGCGTATGCTGGCCTTGGCCTGCACTGGGCGCTTCCCGCATCAGCTCAGAGTGCTCGCCACGGCCTGTGCAGTAGGCGGCGCTACAGAGGGAGAAACAGGCTCAGGAAGCTCACGTCTCTTGCCCAATTCGCGCTTTCGAGGAGCGAACAAAGCTTAGACACTAAATTCTAAACGCTCTTTACCTCACGCCCCCCGGGGCGCACTCGCACTTACCGAGCGCGAGCGCGCACCTGCGCACGCGCAATCATCACAGCCACTTCCCCTTTAAGAGGATTCCTGTCGCCTCCGCCGACCCTTTCGCTTCCGTTCCGCGTTCCCACAATGCAGTGCGGCTGAGCGCCTCCAAGCCCGTGGGGACGCTGCGGGGGGGAACCGGGCTGAGGCGGCGGAGGCGGCGGCACGACGTGAGCTGCGGCGGGCCCGCGGCGTCGGGCGGTGCGGATGTCGGGCTGGGCGGACGAGCGCGGCGGCGAGGGCGACGGGCGCATCTACGTGGGGAACCTTCCGACAGACGTGCGCGAGAAGGACTTGGAGGACCTGTTTTACAAGTACGGCCGCATCCGCGAGATCGAGCTCAAGAACCGACACGGCCTCGTGCCGTTCGCCTTCGTACGCTTCGAGGACCCTCGGTGAGGACCCCGACCGCGCCGCCAGCCTGCAGGCCGGGTCCTGGGCCTTCCCTCCTTCCCCTCCCCCTCCCCGCCTCCCTTCCCCCTCGGCGCGGACCCCCTCGCGGCGCCCCCGGGTGGACGAGGCGGCCTCTTCGCCTCGCGGGCTTCTGGCAGTCCCCTGGCCCGTCGTCACTTCCTTTATTATTATACTTAAAAATACAAAACCTGAGCCTTTGGAGGGCAAAGCCCGCCCAAACGCGCCTCAGGGATGGGGAAAATAAGCGCTCTTTTCCTCGCGGCTGGGGAGTCGCCCTCAGAAGGGGAAGCGGTCTGGCCTCGGGAACCGCGGGCCTGGCCCAGCCTTGGAGACGACTGAGGCGGGAGACGCGGCCAGAATCTGAGGAGGGAGTGGCGGAAGAGTAGACAGGGCGGCCCTGCTTTTGAGCGTGGGGCGTAAAGTGGTCTCTGGTGGAAGCCGCCTCCGGCTGTGCGCGCCCGTCTGCGCGTACCCGAGTCCGGCGTCTGGGAAGGAGGGCCCGGAGGCGCTTCCTCAGCCGGAGGGAGACTCTGCACTCCCTCCCGGCAGATGTTAGAGAACCCAGAGCTGTGCACCTATTACCGGTTCTTTGGTGGTTTTGCAAACATTGGCCCAAAGTGACCATTAACTTTTTTTGAGAGAGAGTCAGGGTCGTGCCGTGTAGTTCTCGCCACTGTGCCCCGCCCGGGACCAGGAACTTAGAACCGCAGTTGGTGCTTCTTAGAAACTACCTCATTGTAATGGTCGCTGCATTCGGGGTTTAGTAGTCTTACTGTTTCCAGGCACGTTTTAAAGGAAGGCCACACCTCTGTCTCACTGCCAGCGTTATCTTTAGGGTGTCTTGCCTTCCTGGGGTGGAGGTATAGATTGGGCCAAAAAAGCATCTGAGGTCAAGGGGGCAGGCAGCGCTGAGGCTTTTTTAATAGCTGCACTCAGAGGGCTTTACTGTCACAACATTTGCCTCAGAAGTGGAACTAGGCATTTTTACATTTAAATGGGAGAAAGCTGTGCCCCATTAGTAACAGTCATAGTGTATTTTGAATCATCCTACGCGTCAAGGACCGAGTTGTGTGTTTAGCATTTTCAACGAACTACAAAGTAGGTATTGTTAACCACACTTTGTTACAGATGAGGAATTTGAGAATCTGTAGGGTTGTTGATAAAACTGGCTTCCAGACAGAATTTTAGCCTTCAAGTTTTGTCCTTACAGTACATACTTGCTGTGGGATGTTACATTGTTATTTTTTACCTTCATTTTTTTTTTTGATAGAAAAACTTTTGATACCACTATGTGACAAGTTTCAAACCAAGCATTTTGGACACCAGTATCTTACTTAATCCTAACAACTCTGTGAGATAGGCATATTGCTTAAAGATGTAAAACCTTGGTTAAGCACTTAGGCATAGGCGAATATTAAGTGGCAGAAGAATGATTTGAATTCAAGTCAATTTGTATTGTTTGTTCTCATGTTTTTTTTTTTTTTTTTTTTGGTTTGGTTTTTTTTTTTTTTTTAATCGGTACCAGGGATTGAACTCACCACCGCCTGTTTGCAAAGCAGGTGCTTATGTTGCTGAGCTAAATCCCTAGCTCCTGTATTGTTTGTTCTTAAACCTTTTAGTCTGCTCCACCCATGTTGCACTTCATAAGGTATACAATCAGGTTTGCACTGGTTGTGTCTTACTGCTTTTAGGCCTAGAATGTTGGTAAAGCAGTTATGCATCTGTAACACAGAATGACACCCTCATTGCAGCATTTGCCTACCAGGTAAGAGCCTGAGTTTGGTCCTCAGCACCCACCAAAAAATAGATATGTATATATTTTTTTGGTACTGGGGATTGAACTCTCGACCTCAAGCTTGCTAGGCAAATGCTTATGCTGCTGAACTGAATCCCCGGCCCAATAATTTCTTTTAAAAAATTTACTCTTGGTGAAATTGTACCCAGTGGTTTTGATAGTGTAGTTTGATAGTGTAGAGAAGGTAAACTTAAAGCTGTTTTCATCTCTACGCATCATTTGAATTTCTTCTGAGCTGCCTTTTTTTCTCCCTGAGACTTCCGTTTAAAAGTTTTTCTATCGGCTGGTCCAATGGCAGTGGGTTATCAGAACTTATTAACATTAGTGTCACTAAAGTTGGTATCTCCCCCCCCCCTTAAATTTGACTGGCTTAAAAAAAATTTTTTTTCTATCAGCTTTATGGAAGGATATTAAGGGGTTGATTTTTCTCAATTAGTCCCTTTATAATTCATCTCTACCAATCCATTATCTTGGGTTTTTTGTTTTTTGTTTTTTTTTTGTCATCCCATTATCACTTGGTATCTAGAAAAATGTGTGCAGCAGCTGTAAGGTTTAATTCAACACCATGAAGTTTTCAACCAAAGCACACATACAAGATCCTGGTTTTGGTTTGTTTTGCCCTCTTCCCTTCTGTATGTCCCTCACTGGGAATATTAAACCTTCTGGATAGCACTAACTTTAAACTTTTTTGCAGAGATGCTGAGGATGCGATTTATGGAAGAAATGGTTATGATTATGGCCAGTGTCGGCTTCGTGTGGAGTTCCCCAGGACTTATGGAGGTCGGGGTGGGTGGCCCCGTGGTGGGAGGACTGGACCTCCTACAAGAAGATCTGATTTTCGAGTTCTTGTTTCAGGTATGATTCCTTTCAAATTGAATGAGATGATCCATGTAAATTACTTGGTCTGAGGGCAGGTGTGGTGCAGTCCCAGAACTTGAAGGCTGAGGCAGGAGGACTGCTGCGAGTTCAAGCCAGTGAGGGCTACAGCCAGTGAGGCCAGCCTGGACTATGTGGTGAGACCCTGTCTGAAAAGAAAAAAAATTACTTAAGACTTAGCCTGGCTGCCTGTAAGAAATGTTAACTGTTTAACAGTGTGTGGGATATGTGGGGTTTTCAGTAATGCATCCACAGTGACAGTCTGAAACCCTGCTCTAGCTTACCAGTGAGGCCAGTGTAAATTAAGCTTATACCAAGTAGTCCAGCCTTGGTAGAACATAATTTTTTCTGTTTTTTGAGACAATCTTGCTGTGTAGTTCAGGCTGGTCTTAAACTATCTAGCCTTCCTGCCTCAGCTTCCTGAGCCTCTTGTGTGGTGGGATTACAGGTGTGTACCACCATTCTTGGCCTAGAACATAAATATGTTTCTTATAAGAGGATTTTCTATTGGTGACAAGGGAAGATGATGGCAAAATTCTTTCAGCTGGGATAGTAAAGACATTTTTCTTTGGGAACACAGCTTGGTATCAGACTTAATAGAAAAGACATTTATTACAGGAGCCAGATTTGAACAACTCACCCAACAGTGGATCCTGCAAAAGACCAGATTTTGTGGTGGTTTGTAGATTGTATCAAAAAGAAAACCCCACAACTTGGAATCTTGAAGGTTATTTAGGAAAGTATAAAACATTTCTGCTTTAGTATAGAAGTACAAAACATTTGTTGTGTTAACAAGTGTTGAAGAGCTAAGGTCAAAAGCCTGTGTGTTTTTGAAATATTAGTACAGTGGGAAATACTGGGAACTTGTGCACAGTGCAGGCAAGTTTTAGGACCCTATTGGAGTGAGATGTATTGAGCAGCCTGGCATCTTTTTAGGATGTGATGAATTTCCCATGCCATAGCAGATTCCCAAATGTGTAAGAATGATACTCAGCCTCTGCCTGTCTTGTATTCTGTACTTTTCTTAACCCCAGAACTCTATTCCCTCCTTCAGGATGTCATACATTCTTTTTTTTTCCTCTTCATGCTGCTCTGAAATCTGCTTAGAAAAACTATTATGGCTGCAGTCCTGTGAGCACTAAACACAGCCTGTGTGAGCAGGAGCACATTTCCTTTTCATGAAATCAGGTAGGGTCGTATGACTCCCAACTAGTTTTAGTGTCTGAATAAGACCTTTCTCCTCACTGTAGTGAAGAATGTTGGTGATCTCTTAAGAGGTACTTTGTTTAGTTTGTCCATCATTCACTCTTGTAAGAAAATACTTTTTGTATTTTTGATGTTGTGTTGTTAACTTTGGCCATACTTAGGTTATTTTGTTGGTTGGTTTCAAAATTCTGTGTCCTGGGAAACCTGGGTAAGAAGTAACTGGTATTATTGAAAACTTCATATTGGAAAAGATTGGAACGTGGTTTTGGGAGTTTGGCATTAACTTGAAGGACAAAGAAAGGTTGTGAATTCTCAAAAATCTCAACCTATAAATAAGATGCTCTGTTGGGAAGGTTTTGGTCTCTACAAGATTAATCTAGAACCAACTTTTTGAGGTAGTGTGGCATATATATACTTCAGTGCTTTTCTCTGGTTTTGGGTCTCACAGAGAAGAGATCATATGAATTGGTGGCTTGTAACAGGGCTGTGTTCTCTATGCCTAGGACTTCCTCCATCAGGCAGCTGGCAGGACCTGAAAGATCACATGCGAGAAGCTGGGGATGTTTGTTATGCAGATGTCCAAAAGGATGGAATGGGGATGGTTGAATATCTCAGAAAAGAAGATATGGAATATGCCCTGCGTAAACTGGATGACACCAAATTCCGCTCTCATGAGGTGGGTCCCTACCTTTTATGGAGTTCCCAGGTCACTCTGCTTGAACCTAAGCTAGCAACAGGCCCTAGCAGAAGTAGCAGCAGGCCATACAAATGATAATTTGAAGCCGGGCATGGTGATGCACGCCTGTAATCCCAGCACTCAGGATGCTAAGACGGGGATGTTTGCAAGTTTGAGACCACCCTGGGCTACAAAGTGAGTTCAAGGCCAGCCTGAACCGCTATGGTGAGACCCTGTATCAAAAAATTTAATTAATTGAAAAATTATCATTTGATAACCTCCTAGTACCATTAAAGGTTTACTTGAAGTGAACAGAGCCAGGGAATTTGTCATGCTTAAATCCTGGAAGGTAATAGTACAACAAAGTATGTCTTTATAATTATTTTTAACCTGAAGAAAATATTGATGTAGTATGTCATAATGTGGTTATAGCAACCTTTTACAGTTGTGTTAAATAGCATTGGGCCTTATGATTATCCTTCCTCTGGTGGTAGTATGGGCCAGCTTTATTGTTTTTAGACAGTGGGCTGACTTTCCATTATTTTCCAGCATACTGAAGGCTTTTCTTTGAAATCTGAACCACCTTGACATCTTAAAATTGGTCACCTTATGCTTGGGATTTTTGGGAAGGAAGTTACTGACCTTTGCACTGGGCTAGATCTCTAGCCCCTTTTATTATTTTTTTATCACACTTTTTGAAACATGGTCTCCTGTAGTTCAAGCTGGTGTCAGATTTTTGGCTCCTGTCTCAGCCTCCCAGGTGCTGGGATCACAGGCATGTACTTCCATGCCCAGCTCATTTTTGAGACAAGATCTAAATTGCCCAGACTAAGCTTGAATTTACAAAGTTCCTGCCTTAGCTTTCCAAGGTGTTGGAATTACAGATGTGTCCCACCCACACCAAGCTGGGATTTTTTTTTTTTTTTTTGGAAAGAGGGTCTTGCTGTGCAGTTCAGGCTGGCTTTCAACTCACTTTGTAGCCCAGGCTGGCCTCAAACTCACAGCAATTCCCCTGCCTCAGTCTCCCAAGTGCTGGGATTACAGGCATGCATCACTACACATGGCTAGCTGGGATTTCTTCATGTCCTTTTCTTTAGGAAGGCAGCTGTTACTTTGGATCCTTTCAAACACTAATGAATTATTTTCCTGGTTATCTGTCCTGTGTTGCTGTGGTATATATGAAAAGGTGGGAGTCACATCTCTAGACTTTTCTGAGGATTTGTATATTCCCTAGTTTTATGGCTTGGAGCAGTGGTGGCAAACCTGTGGCACATGTACTATAGCAGGCTATTTGGTACTAGTTATGTTTCGTGTTTTTTTTTTTTTTTTTTAAATTTTTTTTATGTTTCATTTTGTTTTGAGACAGGTTCTCACTTTCTAGTGCAGGCTGGCCTTGAATTTGCAGTGATCTTCCTGCCTCAACCTCCTCCCAAGTGCTGGGTTGCAGGTGTATACCACCATGTCCAGCATGCAGTGGGGCTGTTTGTATTATTGACAGCTCTAAAAGGTTTGCCATCACTAGGTTTGAGAATAGCCCTTGCATTGTTTATCAGTGTTTTTGGTCAGGCTGTCTTCAAGGATTTGAATTTGGAACAGAAACAGAATAGCACCTGGTCTTCAATATACTACATGGGAGGGTTTCACTATGGGTGAATCCAGTGACTTTCACCTACAGGGAAATAACATTTAGTTTCTTTCACTTTGGATCTTCTGAAATGTTTGCTCAGGGTAGAAGGCCTAGAGTCCGGCTAGTGTGGACTTACTTAAGATTAATTTCTTAACCGAGTTGGTACTTGGAACTCCAGATGTTCGAATAACCAAAATAACCATGTTAATAGTGTGGTTAAAAGACTTTCCAGAACATCAAATAATACTTAAAAAAAAAAAAGACGCTAGGAAGCTAACCTATGACAGTAAAGCATCTAGACTCTAGAATGCCCTAACACCCAGAAGATGTTCAATACAGGCTAGCTACTGCCTTTTTTTTTTTGTTAATTGGTGCCAGTGATCGAAGCAGGACTGCCTGCTTGCAAGGCAGGTGCTTAAGCCACTGAGCTAAATCCCAGCCCCTGCCTTTTTTTTAAAGACAGGGTCTTGCTAGATTGGCCTTGAACTCAATAGTAGCTCAGGCTGGCCTCGAACTTGTAGTGATTCTCCTACCTTGGCCTCCCCCTAGTTCTAGGATTACAGCTGTGTACCACCATGCCTTGCCAGGCTAGCTTTTGCATAAGATGATGTCCAACATGTTAAATTGCTATTTATTATTTCTGTGACCCTGGACAAAGGAAAAAAACTTAAGGCTTTATTTTCTTTTTTGAAATGGGATATTAAGAGTATTTATTTTTCATAAACTCATGAGTGTTTAATGAAATAGATGACAGTTGCTTTCACACAGTAAGTGCTCAGGACTTGATCATTATTAGGCAGTAGGTTAGATACTGGTTTGGTTATTATTCTGACTCTATCTTGTTCTTTACTCTTTTGTTTGAATTTCAGGGTGAAACTTCCTACATCCGAGTTTATCCTGAGAGAAGCACCAGCTATGGCTATTCACGGTCTCGGTCTGGGTCAAGGGGCCGTGACTCTCCGTACCAAAGCAGGGGTTCCCCACACTACTTCTCTCCTTTTAGGCCCTACTGAGACAGGTGATGGGAGGTTTTCTTTATTATTTTTTTTTTTTTTAGATGACCTGAGCTGCTTTGTGCTCAGAATCTACATTCCAGATTGGTGATTTAGTGTCTTAGGAAGTTTTTTAAAATTTTTTTTTTTAAGGGAAAAAACTACATAATTTCTACCAGGGCCATATTAGCAGTGACATGTTTTAAACTGCAGGCATTGTGGTTTTGGTTCAGAAACAAGTTGTATATTTTTCACCCCTGATTATGGGAAAAAAAAAATCAGTGCTGTGTCTTTGTGGGTTGCTCTGCTATGAAGAACAGCAGCTACTGTGACTGAGTTGGCCCATTCTGTTTAGAAATATATTTTAAATGTTTAGTAATTAACATGTGTGGTTGTCCTTGATTAAGCATATAGATTTCACCTGACAGATACACTTTGTGGTGACCTGAGAAGTTCACCTCCAATGCAAGTCCAGGGTTTCCCTTAATTCAAACCTGACTTTGTAAATTAAACTGCCTTAAAGAGAAAGAGATGGGGGCAGAGTGACTTACACCCATTGTCCCTGCCACCCAGAGGCTGAGACTGAGTTGGAGGCCAGGCTGGGCTACATAGTAAGTTCAAACCCAGCCTGAATTACATATTCAGACCCTGTCTCAAACAAAAAAACAAAAACAAAATAAAAGTTGAAGGAAATGGAAAGAATGAAAACAGCATGAGGGCTATTTTATGATAAGTTCTCTTTGCAAAAGGAGAAACTATAGGTGTGGTTCCATTTGCATGTAACCACTTTGTGAGGTGGAGGGTGGCTCTATGGTGTTGAACACTGTTAGCTGTCTGCTCCAATTAAGTAGGCACCCAGGAACAAATGTAAGTACAGTATGTTTGGTAAAAATAACTCCATTCAGGGGCTGGGAATTTAGCTCAGCGGCATAAGCACTTGCCTTGCAAGCAGGCGATCGAAGTTTGGTCCCTGGTACCCATAAAAATGAAAAAGACAAAAAAAAAAAAAAAACTCCATTCAGGTTAGTGAAATCAGCAAGAACAATGACAGTTGAGATTTTAACAGTGAATCGATGCTTGTGTCTGTCAGATATATAAACAAAAAAGTTTACTTTCATGCAATTTGGTAGGTGGTCTTTTAGAGGTGGACAGGAAGATAATGTTTTAGCTGGTTTTCTAGTTCTATCTTCATAAGAGTCAGAAGACATGCTTGAATATCTTTTTTTTTTTTTTTCAAGTTTACTAAAGAAAGTAGGGCCATTAGAATTTACATTAAAATACTATTATTGCGCTTTCATGTGCTCACAGGATACCCCCTTCCCAGAATAGCTACTCAGCTGTGTTGGAAGGGTTCTTTCTTGTTCACCCAGCGTTGGTAAAGAAATATTACCTGTTTGAAAATAATAAGAAAAGTGTTATATCTGAGCTAGGCTGAGTTGATCACTTAATAGAACACAACAAAAGTACAGTTAGCTATTTTCTAACCCTGGACATCTGAAAGAACCAGTTTTAAGTGCAGCTAAATTAATATACTTTTCAATAAGGAGTAGGCAGTTAAACTGCCATTTATATGCAGGTAGGATTAAAAGGAAAGGCAATTAAGGTTCTATTTTGGAAATAGTATATATGATCAACATGTATGTCTTGCTGAAATCCCGCCGAGATGGCAGGATTTCAGAATCTCTAGTTAACAGGGGAATCAGGCATGTAGAGTTTGGTTTGCTTGCCTACCTTCACATCCTTCAAATAGAGCAGGGGTGCCACAGCAAGCTATTTGTATTAAAAGCTCTAAAAGGCTTGCCATCACTGAATGAGCACTTTGCTTTAACTGGTTAATCTTGATGCTCCTATAAGAGGGAACTCCTGGGTTGGTGTTTTATATGGAGGCTGCAGCCTCCCAAGGGATGTTCTGAACTGGAAACTGGCACTTGGAAAGTAATCTACTGAGTGTTTTTGGTTTGTCCCATCTCTAAATGCCCAGGGAAGCTGGGCATGATGGTACATATGAGGTCAGCCTTGGCTACATACATAATGAATTCACGGCTAGCCTGATCTATATAGTAAGACCCTATTACAAAAGATAATAACATTAAAAGAAACCTAAATGTCCAGAGAGTGCAACAGCACTTACTAAAAAACTTTTTACAGCGAAGTTAAAGGTATGGTCTCCACACTAAATATTATACACCAAGTACTACAGAGTCCCAGATTTTATTCAGCATACCAGTTTGTGTCCCTACCCCCACCCCATGGGAACTGATTCCAGAACCTTTGCACTAAGCTATATCCCCAGCACTCCGTCCTTTTTAAAAATCAGGACAGGGTCCTACCAAGTTGACCAGGATGGGCTCTAACTTGGCAGTCTTCCTGCCTCAGCTCTCCAGATTGCTGGAAGTCTCGTTTGGCCTGTGAATTTTTTTACTTGAATTGGTTTCCAACACTTAAAACTGACAAATGACATCAAAATGTCAAATATCTAGGTTCTCTGGGAAAATGGAAATTATTTTGTGCCACAAATGGCACCAAAAGAAAAGCCAGGAATGCCAGCTGTATCTTGAGGCAGAGCTTTTTTGTTCTGGTTCCAGATTTGCCACCCACAGTATACTTCCTCAATCCTACTTTGTTCATTCCTATAACTGACTGACCCTTTGGGGTAGGTGTGATACCCAGACTCAGTGCCATCTTTTGTTTGTTTGTTTGTTTTCTGAGGGCTTTACTATGTAGTTTAAGTTGGCCTTGAATTTACTATTTAGTCCAGGCTAGTCTTGAACTTACAGGGATTCTTCTGCTTCAGCTTCGTGAGAGCTGGGATTACAGAGTTTAAATTGGCCTTGAATTTACTATTTAGTCCAGGCTAGTCTTGAACTTACAGAGATTCTTCTGCTTCAGCTTCTTGAGAGCTGGGATTACAGGTGAGCATCATCACAGCCAGCTCTAATGCCATTTTATTGTTACCATCTGTATGCACTTTTTCCTTTTCCAGGTGCCTGTATAGCATCCTTGTCCTCATAGTACCCACATCATTCCTTAGGTTACCTTGTGACTATCTGGACTATTAAAACTGCTTCAGTCAACACATACCTGGGGGGGCCACAAAATACTCCTCCACAACTTGATGGGAGTTTTGTAGTAGTTCTTCAGCACAGTTGCCTTCTGCTACCTTGTCAGATCTCAAGTATAGACATCTACAAAATCCAGAAGTTCAAGGTTACCTTCTCAGAGAATGGAGCTTCTAGGGGCCTGGTAGAGAAGTCACAATGGGAGAACAAGGGAATAGCATACTCCTGAGTTATGGTCACAGCTCCAACACAGGAGCAATGGTCAAGAACAGACCAAATAACTACAGTTTATAGGTCTCCTGACAACTGAGGTAAGTGGTAATTGTTTCTCAGGATCGACATATTTAACATATTTTGGATTACTAGGAGCAGGTTACAACTAAGTGGAGACAGATAAGATAGTTAATGCAGTTGTTAAATGTTAAGACAAGTAGACAGCCTGCCAAAGCACTAGAAAGGTTATCTAGCCCTGGGTGGGAAGTAGGAACTCAGAATAGGTGATGTCATTGTGAAAGTGCAAAAAATCCTTGGATGGTAGATGGGAAATAGACTTCCAGGAAGAAGCAACAGCATGGTTGCCAAAATGAGAGTTCAGCAGGTGGAGAGAAAGGCAGGGAGTACAGAAGGCTGCATCATGGCCTGCTTCGGCAGAAGAGGGAGCTTGACATGTAAGCAGAGATGCAGGAAGACAGTTCCTCAAGGATGTTGTCTCTTAAGTGTCTGTACTGTGACCTGAGCCCTTTCTGGTGCCCTAAGATGAATGCTGGTTTCATCATAGCCACTTAGGTGGATATTACAAGTGCTTGTAGTTGAGCAAGACACACCACAAACAGCTCGACAATCTCCAACACTTACTTGGGTTTAGTAAAGTGTCAAGATGGCAAACAGGAACTCGGCACCCCCTTGTTTCCAGTAGAAAGTGCCAGAACAGAGGTCTGAGCCTGTTTGAGTTGAGCTTAAATGAAATAACTAAAGAGCAATCAAGCTTTCTACTATGAGTAGGGCACAGACTAAAGTTAACCCTAATGGGTTGAGTCTTGTCACAAAGGGACAGGAGCATCAACATAAAGGCTACCTGTACTAGAGTGCTAAGTTAAGATTTTTTTTTTTTTTTGTACTGAGGATTGAACTCATGACTAGCACTTGCCATGCAGGTGCTTATGCCACTGAGCTAAATCCCTGGCTCCCAACATAAGATTCTTTTAGGAAAAGAACTGGAATCCTGGCTCATAGCCCAGAGCTAAGCACAATAAATTCATGATAGAATAATAGACAAGCAGAGAGCTAGAATCTATTCAATTATTAACTGACAATGATCCTTTTAGACCTTAAGTTTGTCAAGAGTTGGCCTTTGGGTGTTTATAACTAGTAATTATGTATTTAAGATAAGTGGTGGCACATGCCTGTGATCCCAGCATTCAGGAGGCTGAGGCAGGAGGATTACTAGGAGTTCAAGGCCAACCTGAACTACATAGTGAGACTGTCTCAAAAAGTCTTAAGATAACTTGGAAGGGGGCTGGGGATTTAGTTAAGCACCTGCCTTGCAAGCAGGCAGTCGTGAATTCGATCCCTGGTACTGATTAAAAAAAAAAAAAAAACTTGGAAGGCAAAAAATAAAATTATCTGTAATTGTACCATTCAAAGATGACCCATGGACTTTTAGACTTTCTGTTTCTGCTGGACAGTACAACAAAATGCCTAGGGGGCTGGGGAGCTCAGCGGCATAAGCACCTGCCTTGCAAGCAGGCAGTCATGAGTTCAGTCCCCAGTACTGATAAAAAAAAATGCCTAAAAGCAGGCCAGGGGTTTAGCTCTGTGGTGTAAGTGCCTGCTTGGCAAACACAAAGTTGTGAGTTCAATCCCCTGTACCAAAAAAAAAAAAAAAAAAACCTAAAAGCTTAGGCTTCCAAATTATGGCTGAAATCACCTTCCAGTGCCTGTTACAGATTCTATGTTTCAGTTTTCTTACTTATAAAATGTTTCATGAGGTTACTGAGATCCAGTGTAATAGTAAAAATTAAGATCTGATAGTGCTGGGCCTGCATGTCCATGGCAGTAAGAAGACGTCAGTGATACATGCTTTTTCTGAGTATACTCAGCCCACTCATTCACAGTATACCTACACATTTTGTCTTTTTATTTTTGCTTGTTGAGATAGTCTTATTATGTAGTAGTTTAGGCTGGTCTTGAATGCACTATTATATCTCAGGCTAGTCTCAAAATCCTGGCAATCCTCCTGCCTAAGCCTCCTGAGTTCTGGGGTTATAGGATTATAGATGTGTGCCACCATGCCTGCTGTGTTAAACATTACACATTTCCACTTAATTTTTCTCTATAGTGGATTTATTCCTAGAATAGGCCCATATTCCTTTTTTTGGTAGAAAGTGTGTCACTGTGTTGCCTTGTTGACCTTGAATTTATAATCATCCTGTCTCAGCCTCCCAAGTAGCTAGAATTTCAGGTGTGTGCCACCATGCCCAGCCTTATTTTCTTCCTCAAAGGTTATTAGACCTACAAAAAAAACCCTTTTGGTTAGCAAGTTGCTTAACTTTCTTGGGCATTAGACTCATATGAACTATCAAAGAGGGCAGGACAAGCCCTTTGGGTCAGTTTTTGTGAATGCATGCATGTGTGCATGTGTGAGTGTTGCTGGGGATTGAGCCAGTGTCTTCACACAGAACTGCATTCCCTCCCCTTTTGAAATAGTCTTTCCATATTGTCCAAACATTGCTTTTTAAAAGGAATGGAAGGGGCCAGGGATGTAGCTCAGGGGCACAGTGCCTGCCTGGTAAGTGTGGTCATGAGTTCGATTTTTGGCATACACACCAAAAAAAAAAAAAAAAGGAAGTAGTGTGGCAGCATAGAGAAACTCCTTGTGGACTAACGGTTTGACCACTGCTTTTCTTTCTGCCTGCTCTCTGGAATCTGGTTGGTACTGATAGTTCCTCTGTATGCCACTTTATTTCCATCTGCAAGCCTTTTATCTCCTAATTTAGTTGCATACAGACTGGGTGTGGTGGTACACATGTGTGATTCCAGCATTCTGGAAGGCTGAGGCAGAAGGATCAGAATTTGAGCCCATCCTGGCCAAGTTAGTACTTTAGTGAGATTCTGTCTTCAAAATAGTAGTGCTAAAAATAAATAAAAAGTAGTGCTATGGCACAAAGGCCATGAATAGGTACTAGTAATGCCCCCGGCCAAAAAAGTGAGGCAGAGGTTTTGAGGAATACCATAAACACTAAAGTGTTTGGCTGCAGTCAGATGCTCTTAAAGCATTGACTTCAGCTGGCACATCCAGAGTGGCATTTATGAGCAGAGGCTCTGAGTTCCAAGTCCTTTTGTGGGAGAAGCACTAGGAATTGAACCCAGAGAGCTTTGCACTGAACTATATCCCCAACCCCCTCACCCACTTTTTGGAGATAAGATCTCCCTACATTGCCCAGATTGGGCTCAAACTTGTGATCCTTTTGCCTGAGTCTCCCAGATTGCTGGGATACAGATGAGCGTCAGACTCCCAACAAGGTACATTCTTTTCCCCTACTGTTCCCTCTCTTCTTTCTGTCTTGTGTGTGATATTTTGAGCTGAGCCCAACACCTTCACATGGAGTTCAGCCACCCCTTTTTTGTAAGATTTTTTTTGTGTGTGTGGTAATACTAAGGGTTGAACTCAGGCACACTCTACCTCTAAGCCACATTTCCAGCCCTTTTTGTTTTTTATATTGGGACAGGGTCTCATTAAACTGCTCAGAATGGCCAGGTGTGGTACTGCATGCCTATAGTTCCAGCATTTGAAGGGCTGAAACAGGAAGATCGATGCAAGTTCAAGGCCATTTTGAGCTACATAGTGAGCTCAAGGCTGAACTGCATAGTGAGACCCTGTGTCAAACAAGTAACAAACCAAATGAAGGTATGTATATATAGGTGAGGCTCAGACTTGTGATCCCCTCTCCTTTGGCTTCCTAAAGTGCTGAGATTATAGGCATGTGCCATGATGCCTGGCTAAACTATAACTTTATTGCCTTCCACAGTTGTATGTTGTAACTGAGGTAATGCACATAAATTCTTATTTCCCAACACATAAGCACATCAGTGCTTTCAGCTCAAAAGATTTAAATGTTACTAATGTGCAAAGAGATTTCTACTAGCTAGTCAGGACTTTACATCTAATGTAGCCTAAAATGACTAAAATTTTACTAGGTTTCATTTCACATTCCGGCAGTATGTGCAAGCATTAAAGTTTTTTTAATTTGTTTTGATAGGGAAACGTTTTCTTTTTAATTTCAAAACACATCAGTGGGTGCAACAATGCTATATACATTGCACACTGAAGCACTAAAGTTTTAACAAAGGTCACATTAAAATGCTTAATGGCAACTATTAATCCAAACTGGATTCCAAATCTATGAAAAGTACACAGATAAGAACCCTCAGGGTTCTTATTGATCGGTGTACTTTTCATAGATTTGGAATCCAGTTTGGATTAATAGCTGAGTTCAAGGCCAATCTGAATTACATCATGAGACCCTGTCCCAAAAAAATAAAAACAAAAAAACCTTAAATTTCACAAGATAGGGTTGTACATCTGGCTATCTATCATTACTAATGACAAATTTGTAGCAATTACCTTTGTGAAAAGCTAAGATAGGCAGTTCTGGATTGTCCCTGTCCTTGAGTTAAGTATCTATTGATCTTCCTAAGGGAGCTCCAAGAGCAAACATCTGCTGGCAGAAGTTTCAAAGAAAAGAGCGTTTTCTTCAGAATGTATTAAGATGTGGAAACAACTGGTAGAAATGGGTACAGGCTGGGACTTTTTAGAGATCACAGTATTTTGGGAGGCCTGTAAGACCTGAACTCAGGGCCTACTCTATGTCAGGCATGGAAGTTGAGTTTGTCAGTGACTTCTCCACATTGTACTACACTGCATTATATTACTTCACTATTTATTCTGTCCCATTAAGCATTTGTGTTTTGGGCCATGGTTAAAGCTTCCTTCCATATTCCCACTTTAAAAACTTATTTGGTAAGTTTCTTTCAGGAAACAAAACTGCATATACCAGAACATATACAAAATGGTACACATAAAGTATTCATAATAATATTCTAACCCTATTTTTTATTAAATATATCTTGGAAACCTGTCCATAGTATGTTGTTTCTTATGTGCTAATATGACATCAAATACAAATTATTCCATTATTTTTAACTTCCAGATATCCCATTGTAAGATGATGTATTTGCCATTTACTTATTTCTGGGTTTGATTTTGTTTTCGGATACTAAAAGTAGTTTTCAAAAAAACATTTGTGCGTGTCTTTCTTCCTCTGCTCCTCATAGTGTTGAAGATTGAACCCAAGACCTTCCAAATGCTCTCTGCCTCTGCGCTATGTGCCCACCCCCTTGTGCATAGGTCTTGTACTTAACAATTCTTTCGATAGCCAACCAGTAGGTCAGAAAATATACATACTATGTATACATATTTTAAGTTTTGCAACAGGATTAATAACAAGCAAGTTAGAAAATAAAGCTCATGTAAGTAAAAATATCAGAAAGAATAGAATTGAGTGATCCGGAGACGACTCAGATCTGAGACTCGCATGCAAAGATGTAGAATGCCACAACTATTTGGAAGAGAAAAAAATGCTCCACAAGTATAAAGATTCTAGCAAGGGACTGAACTTGGCTTGGGAAGAAAGCCAGTACAGTGGAGGGTACAGAAAGGTCAACGGTACCGGTTTGTCCGCGTGGGTAAGCAGCAATTATGGTCTTCAGGGCAATGATTAACAAGCAGTTCGGATTCTGTTCCTACGTACACTGGGAGGACTCCAATATTCTAAGTGGGAGTGACAGAATTCACTCTGAGAAGAGTGAATGAAGTTACTTATCCGCGAGTGACTGCACAAATTCCTAATCCCGCTAAGGATCTTTCACTCTCAGATGAGGCAGTAATCCTCACTCTAAACGTCTACGAAGCCGCCTGGGGCGACGCCGCGAGTTTTACCTGTCCTCCAGTACTGACTCCATGGGCTCCACTCCGTCGGTGTCCACCGCACGCAGGCGGTCGGCGAAAGCGATAGCTTTCTCCAGCCGCGCCACAGCTTCGCGGCTGCCGAAGTCTACAAGGGCTAAACGTTCCAAGTGCTCGATCACCTCGACAGTGATAGGACCGCTTCCCTGGGGAATAACGCGGGGAGCATGGGTCACGGGCGAGGTTTGTTCTGCCACCCACATACAGACCGCCGACCTTTACCTGAAAATTCGCCTTGGTGGAGAAGGCTTGGCACCCGCCAAGCCCACTTCGAAAAGCCAGCCATACCGCCCGCGCCCACATTTCTTCCCTTCTCGGCCCCTGTAGTGCGCCAACGCAACGCCAAGCGACGCGTTTAAGTATGATGACATCATAAAGCGCCTACAGTTGCTGCAGCCATCGCCATGAACAGCGTAGGAGAGGCTTGCACTGATATGAAGCGAGAGTACGATCAGTGCTTCAATCGCTGGTTTGCCGAGAAGTTTCTCAAGGGAGACGGTTCCGGGGACCCGTGTACTGATCTCTTCAAGCGCTACCAGCAGTGCGTTCAGGTGAGCCGCTACCTGAATCCTTCCTTCTCTAGCTTCAGGCCCAGCGTTCTCTGTGGTGTTCCTTGCCAAAAGAATCACACCTGGCGGGAGTCGTGTTGCGGAGGATGGAGAAAATCAGTAACAGCTTGAGGCAGCAGCCCTCTCCTCTATCTCACCATCGTGCCCACCCTAGGTGTTGTCTCTGATAGACCGGGTTGGTTGGTTTGTTGAAACAAGGTCTCGCTATAACCCAACTAGTATCGAACTCGCGGGGATCCTCTCTCGGCCACCCTAATACTGAGATTACCACCACGCCGGCCTAAACCAACTTTTTTTGGTGTTGCTTTACCTTTTTTTTCTAAGACAGGGCGCTAGCTGTGTTACCCAGTCTGGCCTTGAACTCGCGAATTTCTTGCCTCAGTCTCCCGAGTAGCTGGGATTACAGGAGTATGGTGCATCGCCCAGCTTCAGTGCTTTACTCTTTTAATGAACACAATAATATCTTTTGTTTCACTTATTTAGTGATCTTCCTAAACTTTGAAAGTAGCCACTGTTATTAACATTCGGAAATAGGAAATGGTTCCTGCAAGTTCTCTAGGTCAGATTTTCTTGATTGTTGGCGGTGCACTTTTCCCTATGTACTGTTGTGTGGGTAAGGTGTTTACTTTCTCCAGCCAGTTATACACTGTAGAGAGTCCCCCCCCCGTTTTTGTTATAATCCGATTGGCTTTTTCACCTTTCGACAAGTTGTTAACTGCAGCAAGTAAAGTATCATTCTGACTCAAGGGATGTGGGATTGCTTTAAATTACAAGGATAAACCGGATGTGGTGGCACATGCCTGTAATCTTAGCACTTAGAAGACTGAGGCAGAATGGATCACTGACAGAGGCCAGCCTGGGGATAGTGAGCTTAAGACAAGATTGTACTGCACAGTGAGACCCTATCACAAAAAGAAAAAAATAAATAAATAAACCTAAGATAGCCCTGAGGAAAGCAAGAAAGCACTCCATTCAGCTAACGTACACTGTCCTCATATAATTTCAGCAAGTAGTTGTCATCATACCCCAGATGCAGATGGTGAGGCTGGCTCAAGGCCACATAGCCAGTAAGCCCTGGAATTTAAATTTAAATCCACATAGCACTAAATAAAGTGATCCATTTTCCACGTGTCACATTTCCACAATATAGGAATTGAACCCAGAACCTTTGCACTGGATACCAAGATCCCCACTCTCCTCTTTTACTATTTGAGACAGGGTCTTACAATGAGTTAGGCTGACCGTGAATTTACTGGGCTAGTCTTGAACTCCTGCCTGAGCCTCCCAGTGCTGGAATTACAGGCATGTGCCACCAGCCATCCTTTTTTTTTCCCCCACCCTCTTTTTTTTTTTTTTTTTTTTTGAGATAGGGTCTCACTATGCAGTTCAGGCTGGCTTTGAGCTCATTTTGTAGCCCTGGCAGGTCTCGAACTCGAAAGGATCCTCCTGCCTCAGCCTCCCAAGTGCTGGGATTACAGGTGTGAGCCACCACACCCGGTTTTTTCCCACCACTCTTTAAAAAAAAAAAAAGGGGGTCTAAGTGGTTAGATTGCCCAAATTTAAGCCTGAACTTGTTATCCTCCAGAGTGATGGGAGATGAGTGTGTGCCTCCACTTAGCCAGATGGCACACTGATGGTTCTTTTACAACTCCTTGTTCAGTCTTTTATCTGGTTTACACAAAAGTATTATTACTTTTATTTAAACAACATATGTATATGTACATAGATAAATTATACTACTGATTTGTCTGAGTTCAATGAAGAAAAAGATTTATGCTGGTATTGTTTGGATAACAGTGCAGATGTCAGGCTCTGGGTGAATGATTTGGAGATGACAATGTACAATGTATATACCATTGTTGCCACCTTAATGACGTGTTTTGCAACTTTTACTTTTTTTGTCCTTAAAATGGATTTGGAAAAATTAAATGTCACTTTATACTGTAGTTCAATTTGATTTTTTTGTACCATCACATTTTATTTGCCAAGTTTGTGCTTCAAACTTCTACATGTGTTTTCTTCTCCCATCAGAAAGCAATAAAGGAGAAAGAAATTCCTATTGAAGGACTGGATTTCATGGGCCATGGCAAAGAGAAGCCTGAAAATTCTTCTTGACCTTGAAAATGGATTCATCAGGAAATTGAGGCCTCTGGATTGTCAACTAACGCCCTTGAAAATAGCCATGGGATTGATGAGTTTAGGAGCGAAGAGTTTTATTTCTTCCTTCTTGATGCTTTCTTTACTTGTAAATGATGATCTCTGCATTAGATTTTTCACTTACTCTGGCATCTTGCAGGAATTCAGTGTGCTAAAATTGAACAATTTCTCTAGATTATGATTGCAATACATGGTCTGGAATTAGCTTTAAATATATCTATGTAAATAATGATAAACTAGTCAAGATGATCAGGGTTGCCTGATGTCTTGATTTTGCTGCAAAGACATTACACTGTACTGGGGTCATTGTGAAAGCATTTGGTTAGGACCTCTTTTTCTCTCTCAGGGAGTAAATACTCTAAAGAGATCCGAGCACAACACTTTCGATCAATGCTTGGGAGCACATTTTTATTTTTATATAGTGACTAACAGTTATGTTTGTGGGTGACCTGGGTTAGCAAAGAGGAAGACAGCTTTTAACATTCTCTGCCTCCAAGTGTCTAATTAAGACATGAAAGCTTCAAGAACGTTGAAGTAAACACCACTGCAGAGCTCATAGTGTACTGGAGGAATCAGGATATTTGCAGTGCCAATGGAAGAACTGCCTATTACAGAGATTTGGTGTTGCCAGCGTTCAACTCAAGTTAATGAATTGAGTCAACCTGCCTATCAGAAAAAAAAAAGCCAAAAATGCTGCATCTGTTTAAATGGAGGGGAAAGGTGCTTGCTTTATTTGCCTATAATGTCTATAATCATGAAGATGGAATAAACTCTTTTAACATTTAGTTTTCAATCCTTATTTGCTCTTGGAACTCAGTGCACTGTGTGGAATACCTGTTACCCCTGACCTTATGTTTCACGCATACATTGCAGAAGTTTTATGTTTTATTATTTAAAGGTGGTGAGTTACTGAAGCTCGGTAGTATGATGTCACATTCAGAAACTTAATTTCTAAAATTTATTTCCATAGTAGGCTATTTAGATACCTAACCAAAAAGTCAAGTCTGATGGTGGTATACACCTGAAATCCCAAATTATGGGAGGCTGAGGCAGCAGGATTGCAAGTTTGATCCCAGTGTGAGGAACTTGGTGAGATTTGTGATCTCAAAAAATTTTTTACAAAGGACTGGGAATGGCTCAGTGTGAAGTCCCTAGGCTCAATCGTGAGTACAAAAAAAGGGTGGGGAGGGGGATATCAGCTCCAGACTTACATTTTATTTTTTTTTAAGGCTTACATTATTTAAAGTGCCAGGTAATTCTCACAGCTGCCTGTCTTGAGCAATTAATTTTACTGTTTGTCCAAAGATAATATGAACTTGATTTATGGAACATCTGAATTCTATTGTTTTCTAACAATTATTACTACAGCCAGGTATAAGCAGGCCACACGCCAACAACTGGGAGGTTAAGACCCTTAATACCATTTCAGAATATTCTTTATTTGTATTTTCTGCCTGGTCAATGTTTCTTAAAAGATTATAAAGATTTCTGGTACTAAGCCAGGCAGCTGAACCCTGGCATTAGGCAAAACAGACCAAGAAGGCCTGAATGCAGGGTGATGTTTCAAAATGGCCAATATGAGTACTTTTTCAGCGGTGCTGATGGTGAACCCAGGGCCTTCAGCATACTAGGTTAAGTGTTCTACCATTGAGCTATATCATCCCCAAATTATTTTTGTGATGCTAAGGACGGAATGCAACCCGATTTTTTTGAGACCGTTTCAAAAGTTACCCGTTTCAGCTTCCTGGAGTGCTGGGATAACAAACAGGCTTGTGTCATTGCACTTGGCTTCCAGCTCCTACTTTGCAACAGGGTTTGCTCAATCACCCACCCAGGCTATCATCAAATTTGAGATCTTCTGCCTTAGCCCCCCTCCCACCCAGTAGTTTGGATTCTAAGCTTGTACCAACACACCTGGCTGAGAAAGACTATGTTAACTTACCAATTGCCAAAACAAATTTAAAAATCCTTGAGGGACTGGAATACAGCTCAGCAGCACAGCACTTGCCTGGCAAAGCTCAAGGTCCTACGTTTGGTTCCCAGTAAAATCCTTGAAACACAGCATGGTGACAAATGCCTAAGTTCGCATTACTTAGGACGCTAAAATAGGAGTATCACTTGAGCCCAGTGATTTCAGGCCAAGACTGGACAACACAGTGAGACCCTGTCTTTTAAAAAATCCTGAACTGTGTATCCCCAAGCGAACAAGATTTATGTTATTGTTAAGTCTAAAATTACCACATACTAATAGCTTCCTATGCCCTATCAAAAGGAATACCTCAAATTGCTAGCAAGAGAATCATTCTGATTGCTTCTCATCCTATTTTGACTATTCTCTTAAAGGTTTCAAGTTTTTTTGTTTTGAAATACTGTAAGTCACACCCGGGACTGACACCTGCCAGACAGGCACTGTGATGCTGAGCTACATCCCCAGCCCCAGGCTTCTAGTTTTATGAGGAGTTAGTTGCCATTTCAGGGTGATTTGTAATTCTCCCTGGTGTGTCTCCCAATTCTGACTAAAGGACAATTTTAATCTTAGAAACAAATAAAGCAAATACTGTATATAGAAATGTATCCCACTGCCTTTGTTTCTCTAAAAGTTTCTGACCCTACCAGCCTCCAAGGTGCTGAGACAAGAGTCTTACAGTGGTGGCAAAGGATTGAAATATTTCAATCTTCCCAATATTCTCCTTTGGAGAAAATCCTCCAGCTACAAGAATTCTGCACCAAATACTGGTAGAAGGGACAGGAGAAAGCAGACACAGTAAGCAGTTCCCACTGAAAATCACTGTACCATTCTGCCACAGTGTCTTTCGTGGCCAACATCTAGCTGTCATAGATCTTAATAATTAGGTCACTGCTGTGTGCTTCTGTCCCTTGTTTCTATCTACTTTAGGCACAAATACTAAGGGGCCTGTTATAAGCAGCAGACACACACATTTACTGCAGAAATAAAACAAATAGTAACATTTTTGGGGGGAACACCAAAGAATGAAGTTTTCAGCTTACGACCAACCAGAGTCTTAAGTTATTTATTTAGGCCATCTCTTGCCACAGGCAAAGAGATGGAAGATCAATATGATGGTCATCATTTGATACAAGTAAGGAAAGTGAGCTTAAGATCCCATACGCTTTTCTGGTCCAAATGCAAAGTAATGGTCCAAATTAGAGCTTTGTTCCCAATGCCTGGTAATAATGGTCCAGGTTCTCTTCATTCATCTTCATAGCCAGTCGGAAGCGGATTCACACGAGGGTTATGGAATAGAGTATGGTTACCATCTCCCCAAGGGAAGGGCTGTGGAGTGAATATGTCAATTAGATAAACCCAGAAAATAATTCAAAAAGAACATTGCTATGAACCAATTAAAACAAGATAGCAAACAATACCCAAAATGGAAGTTAGTCCTTTAATTACTAGAGTATTTCAATCTTCCCAAAATTTAGCACTTATTACTACCTAAATTAGGAGAAAAAGTTCAAATTGTCACTCAAGCCTCTTTCTGACTGTTTCTCAGCCTTCTGGCTAAGATCATGTGTAGTATTATTAGTTTTTCATCTGATATGTCCTTCATCTATGAAATATATATATAGGGAAGCAGTACTAGGGGCTGAACCCAGAGCATTTGCCTTGAGGTACATCCCCAGCCCTTTTTAAAATTTATTTTAAGATGGGCATGGTGGCTCACAACTGTAATCCCAGCACTCAGGAGGCGAAGCAGGAGGATCCCTGTGAGTTTGAGACCAGCCTGGGCTACAAAGTGAGCTCAAGGTGAAGTTGAACCACACAGTGAGACCCTGTCCCAAAAAACCACACACATTATTTTAAATAAATAAAATACATTTTCAGCAGGATGTGATGGCACATGCCTGTAATACCGGTCTTGTGGGAGGCTGAGGCAGGATTGCCACATGTTCTGAACCACATAGTGAGACTTCTCTCAAAAATAAATGTTAACTAATTATATTAAACTTTCAGACGCAGTCTTGCTAAGTCACTACATTTCCCAGGCTGGACTCAAACTTTCCATCTAGCTGCCTCAGCCTGTACCACATCAGGGTAAACAGGTTCTAGTTTCCATTTTAGACTTGAAACAATCTCTGGACTGGGAAACTGCAACCCACCCTTAATTATTTTGCTTGCTACCTCTGAAAAACGTTGCTCCCAGGGTAACAGTTTCCAACCCAAGGGAACTTTTGATCTTCAGAGAACAGGGGTGGATAGATACCCAGACATAGGTGCAGTAATACTGCCATCTAGTGGGTAGAAGCGGGGGAGGGTGCAATGCATAGGACAGCAATGCTCCCCACTCCCATTATCTGGCCCAAAGTGCCAATAGTGCTGAAGTTGACAGTGGCAGTAAAAAGCAATGATGCAAAACTTCAAGAATGGGGGCTGGGGATTTAGCTCAGCAGCATAAGCGCCTGCCTTGCAAGCAGGCAGTCGTGAGTTCGATCTCTGGTACCGATAATAAGGAAAAAGACAAAAAAAAAAAAAAAAACTTCAAGAATCTTGGCATGGTGGCACACACCTTTAATCCTAGCACTTGAGAGGCTGAAGCAGAAGGATCACTGAGTTCAAGGCCAGTCTGGGTGACAGAAACCAGCTCAAGGCCAGTAAACCGATTCTAGTTTCCATCCTAGACTGGATTACATTTAACAAATGAATCTTGGACAAGTTACTATGAGGCCAGCTCTATACAAGGTTAAGTCAGTGGTGGCAAACCTACAGCACACATTCCTGCAGGAGGCTTTTATCATTGAAAGCTCTAAAACGGTTCACTAGCAGTCAGCTAGGTGATGCTATAATAATTAAAAAGAACAGGGGCTGGGGATTTAGCTCAGCGGCATAAGCACCTGCCTTGCAAGCAGGCGGTCATGAGTTCGATCCTTGGTACCGATAAAAATGAAAAAGACAAAAATAATAATAATAATAATTAAAGAACAAGAAAGAGGGCTTTTAAAAATACAGTAAGCAATGAAAAATAAATGATTATAATACACAGGGATTGATGGGAATAGAGGAAACTGTCAGTCTCTTCATTATGCTGCTGGTATCCATTAGATGCCCACATCTTTGAAAGGTGAACCATCTTCAGAACATCTTTAGGGTTTCCTAAGTCATGTGTGGTAGTAGCACATGCCTGTAATTCCAGCACTATAGGAGAAATCCAAGTTTGAACCTAACCTGGGCAATCTACTAAGACTCTGCTTCAAAAAATATTAAAAATGGCTAGTGAAGGGGCTGGGGATTTAGCTCAGCGGCAAAAGCACCTGCCTTGCAAGCAGGCGGTCGTGAGTTCGATCCCCGGTACCGATCTTAAAAAAAAAGGCTAGTGATGCCAAAAGCATGAGGGCCTCAGTTCGATTCCCGGTACCTGCCCCAATTTCCAAGAAAAAAAAAAAAATGGCTAGGGATGTACCACAGTGCAAAGACCAGGCCTGGGTTCAATTCCTACTAAACTGCAAAAAGAAAAGGAAATAAAAGGATTTCGCAAACTTCCAAGTTTTATCCAACAGACAACTGTTTCAGAACTACATCAGAAGGAAGGCAAGATGGGATGAACTGAAGATAAGAAAACTAGAAGCGCACTTATGGTACGACCTTTAAGAAAACTGAAACAGGACCCCAAATCTGCTTCCCTTCTGTTTACTAGGATTATGCGAGAAATAGACGCCTGGCAGCTGCGATGTTGGCGCACCGAGAAGCGGGGTTCAGGGGGGCCAGGAGAGCCGCGGGGGCCGCAAGCGCATACCTTGGTCCTGATGCGGAGGTGGGGGTAGGCGATGAACTCGGGTCTCTCCTCTTCGTGGTGCGACTTCAGGAAAACATTCAGCATGCTCACTGCCACCCCCGGGAGCGCCACGAAAAAGGTGAGAGCCTTCCACATGCGAGCTGCGGAAAGGCCACAACCTCTTAGCTCGCGCAAAGGGCCGCCCGCCCGGGTCGCACTTTCCTTCCCTCGAAGCTTCAAGCCAAGGTCACAGACCCGCCCCGCCTCACCCGCACGGGGCTCGGCCCACCGACCCCCGCCTCTGTACCTGAGCCCTCATGGCCGTGGGCGCCACTCGACATCAGCCGCCCCACCTGCAGGCGGGACCGGCCTAGCAGCCGGGAGACCCGGGACACAGCTAACGCCGCCGCCACCATTTTGGACCCAGACCACCGAGCGCCGGAAGCGGAAGCAGGGAAAAGGCTCTGGGGGTGGGACCACAACTTAAAAGGGAAGTTGTTATTGGACGATGACTTCTCAATCGTATAACTAGACCGAGAAGCCTGCGCACTATCATTCAGGGTGACCTAGTCCTTGTCAAAATCCTCTGAACCACGGACCTAGAGTGAGCATGCGCTCTGCACCTTCCTTTGTGCACCGCCTTCCTCTTGAAAGGCGCCTGCGGGTTCCCTCAGACAGAGTTCCTTACAGTCCCGCCTTGATGACTGTGTGAAGAAGTGATTGTGAGGCATCCTGTTATTTACGTGATCGCTCCCTCTATTGGAATCCGAGGACAGCATATGGAAATTCTAAGCACAAACCACGCTGTCCAAAATGTCATTACTCAGATGCGTTTGGTGGCGAAAGCCTGTAATCCCAGTCTTTGGGAAGCAGAGGCAGGAGGATCACTGCTAGTTCGAGGCCAGCCTCAGCTACATAGTGAGACTATCTCAAAAAAAAATAAAAGAGGGGCTGGGGATTTAGCTTAGCGGCATAAGTACCTGCTTTGCAAGCAGGCGGTCGTGAGTTCGATCCCTGGTACCGATAAAATGAAAAAGACAAAAATAAAAAAATAAAAGAAAGAAAGAAAAGAAAACTTTTCTTGCTATCTACTGATCCTGTATTGTTTTTTTAATGGCATCTTACACTTTTTTTGAGAAAAGGTCTCGCTATGCAGTTCAGGCCTGCCTTGGGTTCACTTTGTAGCTCAGGCTGGTTTTGATCTTGCAAAAATCTTCCTGCCTCAGCCTTCCGAGTGCTGGGACTACAGGCATGTCACCATCATGCTTGGTGACATCTGACACTGTTATTATCATTATTACTGTATTTTGTCTGAATCCCCCCAACAAAAATACAAATTCTTTGTATTTAGAGAATTTGCCACTGTAGCATTGCAACCTAGGAATATTATAGCCTGGAGTCGTGTTTGGCGGGCTTAATACAATTTGCTTAAGATTGTACTAAGTGCTTAATACAATTTGTGGAATGAATGGATGGATGGATGTTAAATGACAAACGGCAAATGGAACCAGAAAGAACTCTGAAGTCAGTGCCAAAAAATAAGATTCTAATCCAGCTCATCATTCTCAATTTTTGGCTAATAGCCATGCTGCTTTTCTCTCCCTTGAAATTCTACAAAAATCAGCACATGTGAAATTATTTCTAAACATCTCTTTCTCTCCTGGGTTTTTCCTTCCTTCTAATTTCTAAAAGCAGTTTTAAAAATAAAAGTTAAAGTGGGCATGATGGCCCCCATGCCTGTATTGCCTGCTATTCCTGACAAGCTGAGTTGAGAGAATCCCAGACTCATGGCCAGCCTGGGAAATTTAGCAAGACCCTGTCTCAAAAAGAAAAAAAAACAAAAAATTAAGGATATAGGCCAGTAGTAGAGCACTTGCCTAGTATGCTCCAGACCTTGGGTGCAGTCACCAGTACTGCAAAACAAAGAATGAATAAATAAAGCACCTGCCTGGCAAACATAAAGTCTTGAGTTCAATTACCGGTACCAACAAAACAAAAGAAATATATGTAGGTATCTGGGCATGGCAGTACATGCCTGTAATCCTAGCATTTGGGAGGATGGGGCAAGAGGATTGCTTCAAGTTTGAGGTCAACCTAAACTACACGGCAAGTTCAAGGCCAACCTGGACTACATAGTGAGAATCTGTCTCAAACAAAACAAAATAAAAACAAAAAAACGTATGGAGGAAAGATGAAAGTGAACTTTTTGATGATTTAGGACTGTAGTGTAAGTTTTCAACTGTTTTCCAAATAAAAACATATTCACACAGGCACACATGGTTTAGTAGATAAAGTTGGAGTGATGCACCTTAAAGTACATTGGGAGACCCCTGAAGACTACATTCAGACCCCCTGAAGAGGCCAGTGCAATGGTGCATGCCAGTAGTTCTACAGTGGATATTAGGGAGTCTGAAGTGGGAGGATCAGTTGAGTCCAGGAATTCAAGACAGGCCTGGGCAATATTGAGATACCTTATCTCAGAAAGAAAAACAAAACTCGAAGAAAGAAAGAAAGAAAACCCCCACAAGGAGGCTGAAACAAAAGCTTTAGAAATTCAAGGTCAGCCTGGGCTATTTATTTATTTATTATGGTTGGGCCGGGGATTTAGCTCAGCAGCTCAAGCACTTGCTGTTAAGGGCAAGGTCATGAGTTTGATCCCTGATACTGGAAGAGAAAGACCCAAAACAAAATATTTATTATTATTTCATTTTGTTTTGTTGAGGCAAAGTCTCCCTCTGCAGTTTAGACTGGCTTGAACTCACTTTGTAGCCCATGCTATCCTGGAACTCACAGTGATCCCTCTGCCTGAACTTTCCAAGGACTGGGATTATGGGCATGTACCCGTAATCTGGCTCAGGTTGGGCAATTTAGCAAGACCATGTCTCAAAATAAAATGGTAAAGGGGTAGGGTATAGCTCAGTTGTAGAGTGACCCTGAGTTCAATCCCCAGTACAGGGGGTAAAAATGAGGGGGTTTTGACCTGGGTGAGAAGACTGCCATGAAAAGACTAAGCCTAGGGGCTGGGGATTTAGCTCAGCGGCATAAGTACCTGCCTTGCAAGCAGGCAGTCATGAGTTCAATTCCCGGTACCGATAAAAATGAAAAAAAAAAAAAAAAAGAAAAGACTAAGCCTGTGTGACCTGGGGTAAGTTAGATGAAATGAATGTTTTAAAGTCTTGCGTGAACACAAAATGGTGATCAAAATTGTGAACACAAAAATTTAGGATTGTATTACCTGAGCTTCACAATCTGACCCAGCAGTCCATCTTTCTCTGGGTAGCCCATAGTGTAGTTAAAATCATCAAGTTGGGTGTAGTGGCACACACCTATGATCCCTACACTCGAGAGGCTGAGGCAGGAGGATTACTGTGAGTTTGAGGCCAGCCTACACTACATAGTGAGTTCAAGGCCAGTCTAAACTATATAGCAAGACTCTGTCTCAAAAAAAACGTCTTGAGCCAGGCATGGTGGCTCACACCTGTAATCCTAGCACTTGGGAGGCTGAGGTGGAAGGATCATAGCAAGTTCGAGACCAGCCAGGGCTACACAGTGAGCTCAAGGCCTGCCTGAACTGCATAGAAGAGACCCTGTCTCAAAAAAAAACAAAAAAAAGTCTTTCCCACCCCCCCCCCAAAAAAAATCATCAAATCGCTAGGCACCATCAAACACACTCAAAGGCACTATATGAGGTCCCACAGTATGACCATAGGAAGAGTCAAAGTGCAGAGATCAAGAAATCCTGGGTTCAAATCTCTACTCCCCTATAAGCTATTCTTTCTCTTCTCTAGAATGGGAATGTAATATGCATGTCTTCATCCATTCAAGAAATATTTATTAAAACCCTGCTCCAAGATAGGCTGAACGGTGTAATCCCAGCTACACAGGAGGCTGGGATATGAGGGTATCGAGTCTGAGGCCAGCCTGAGCAATTTAGTGAGACCAGATCTCAGAACACAAAACTAAAGAGGGCTGAGTGTTAGCTCAGTGGTAGAGCACTTGCCCAGCATGCACAAGACCCTGGGTTCTACTCTGAAACAAACAAATAAATAACCCAGCTTCACCTTGCAAAGTTCTCAACCTCCGTCCGTAATAATGAAGGATTGCTGAATAAATATTAACTAAAGTGCTTACTATGTGCCAGACATGTGCAGTTCACAAGAGTGAGACCTCTTCTCTTTCTCCCTTTCCCCTCCCCCCACCCTACATTCTACTAGAGACAGGATTCAATAAAAAAAAAAAAATCTAATGCCTGGAATATGTTAAAAAGTTAACAAATGTTCATTTTCTTGTAGGGCTTCACCCCACTGTATGGGGTGGTCCTAAGTAAAGATTTTGCCCACCATGTGCTTGACACACAGTATATAACTGGGCATGGTAGCATTATGTTATTGCCAGGTACACTTAGCATTAGCAAACCTTTAGATGACTGACTTTAGAAAGACCAGAAAACCAAAACCATCAATACTAAAATTATGCGGCTGGGTGTGGTAGCACATGTCTGTGAACCCAGCACTGAGGAGGCTGAGGCAGGAGGATCATGAGTTTGAGGGCTGCTTGGGCTACATGGTAAGACTGCGGTTTTTTAGGTGTAATATTTATTGAGCACTATTTTGTGCGCAAATCTATGCTGAAATGATCCTTTCCATAAAGCAAACATCTTTTTTTTTTTTTTTTTTTTTTTTGGTCTTTTTTCCTTTTTATCGGTACCAGGGATCGAACTCACGACTGCCTGCTTGCAAGGCAGGCGCCGCTGAGCTAAATCCCCAGCCCCAAGGCAAACATTCATTCTGGAGTCCTTAAGAGCCATCTCCCCCACTTCTTATCCAATCCACAGGGAATCCTGCCAGCCCTTCCTTTAGCCATATCCAGAATCTGACCACTTCTTACCACCTACTGCCACCAGTTTAGTTAAAAGGGTTCTCATCACAAACCTGGCAATTGTCACTTACCTGCTCTCTCTGCTGTCCAATCCCCCTGCTCTCTGCATGGCAGTCACCAGACCCTCTATATCGGGTCACCTCCCTCCTCTGCTCACAATCCCCCAACAGATTGCAACTCAGAGTAAACAGCAGCACAGCACGGCCAGCCAGGCCCTACCTAACCTGTGCCCAGCCACCACTCTGCCATCATCCCTTCCTGCGTAACTACTGCTGCTGCCACTTCTCTCCAGCTGTGCTGGCCCTTTTACCTTTCCGTACACACAGGAGCCTGGTCTTGCCTCAGGACTTTTGCACATGCTCCTTTCTCTGCCCGGGAAGAGTTCTCCCTGAGATAGCCCCATGCACAGCTCCCTCCTTACACGCAGATCTTTGCTTAGATGTCATTTTGTCAAGGAGAGGCCTTCCCTGCCACCCTAAAGTGAAACAGCTCCTCCCCACCCTGACATTCTATCTGCCACACGGTGCCTCATCCATCCTTGTCACACTTGCCACCATCTGCTGTATTAAATATTTATGGATTTACTATCTGCCTTCC